CCCCCCCCCCAACTCCCAGACCTCCTGGCTGATCTCTGGGGGCAGCCACTGTCCCCAGGCCTCCTGTTGTCCAGAGCCCCTAGCATGGGGCTCACTCACAGGGGGAGGGGGCAGTGGTGTGTGTGAACACACTTGTGTGTGTATGTGTGCGAATCTTTCCAGAGAGATGGTTAGCAAGTGTAAGTGCATATACAAGTCTTGTGTGTGTGTGTGTGTGTGTGTGTTTTGGGCCTTGAACTCAGGCCCTGAGCACTGTCCCTGAGCTTTTTTTCTTAAGGTTAGTACTCTACCACTTGAGCCACAGTTCCACTTCCAGCTTTCTGGTGGTTCATTGGAGATAAGCAGTCTCATGGACTTTTCTGCCCAGCTGGCTTTGATCTTTTATTCTCAGATCTCAGCTTCCTGAGGAGCTAGGACCACAGGTGTGAGCCACAGGCGCCAGCTGTGCGAAATCTCCTTGCAGGGTCTGGCCTGCCTTGGGAGGCCAGGCTGAGAGAATGTCATCTAATGGCAAGTGCTTAGACCTGAGTCACTGCATTATTGGTCTTGTTTTGTCCTCTGTGGCCTGGGAACAGCCCTAGGCACTTCAAAGGGTCACTGTGAGTTTTCAGAGGGTGCTGTCTGTCGAGTTTGCTCTGCCAGAGGCTCCATCAAAGGAAGCGCCTGCCCCCTTGGCCCTCAGAGCCCGCTGGGCCTTGTAAAATCCAGATGGGACGCTGGGGTGTCCAGGATGAGTCAGTTACAACTCAGCCCTTTCATGTTCCAGAAACTACCCTTTGCCTCCTCACCCTTTGGGTTGGCTCCGGGGCTTCTTGGGCCGGAAACCCTGAGCTCAGGGAGCTGAAGGCAGGAGGAGGTGGGGGGGGGTGAGGAACTTGTGTTCCTCCTGAGACTGGAATTTCTTTTCTTTTGGCAAAGCTGGGGATAAAACCTAGAGCCTTGGGGCTGGGAAGGTGGCTCATTGGTAGAGCATGCATGAAGCCCTGGATTCGCTGGACATGGTGCTGTGGCTCAAATGGTAGAGTGCTAACTTTGGGCAAAAGAATTTCAGGAATTGGGGCTGGGAAGGTGGCTCAGTGGTAGGGCGCTTGCCTTGCATGCATGAGGCCCTGGGTTCGATTCCTCAGTACCACATACGCAGAAATATCTGGACACTGTGCTATGGCTAAAATGGTAGAGTGCTAGTTTTGGGCAAAAGAAGCTCAGGAACAATGCCCACGCCCTGAGTTCAAGTCCTGGGACTGGCCAATATATCCACAGGTCCTGGAATTTTTTTTTTCTTGTCTTTTAGGCAGTACTGGGACTTGAATTCAAGGTCTTATGCTTGCTAGGCAGGTGCTCTCCTATCATGGCCCCACCCTATTTACTTTGGCTTTTGTGTTTTTTTTTTTTTTTTGGGGGGGGGTTCCGGCATGGGGCCTGAACTCTGGCTGGGCACTGTCCCTCAGCTCTTCAGCTCAAGGCTAGCGCTCTACCACTTGAGCCACAGCGCCACTTCCGGCTTTTTTCTTTTTGCTTATGTGGTGCTGAGGAATCAAACCCAGGGCCTCACGCATGCAAGGCAAGCGCTCTACCACTGAGCCACCTTCCCAGCCCTACTTTGGCTATTTTTTTGGTTATTTGTATCGAGACAGTCTGTAAACAGCAACACATTCTTCAGTGGAGTCAGGTCCATTTCTGCATGTGTACATTCTCTGGGCATACCACCACCAGGCGATGGCTGCCTCTCCAGCCCAGGGGTCCCCACCATGCTGAAGATGCTCACCAGAGCGAATACTACATCCACTCTTAAACTCCATGTAAATGGAACCTTCCAGCATGTGCTCCACATGGTATCTGGAGGATATATGCATTTTTTTGTACATAGCAGTAACTTTTATTACTGTGTCATATGATAATCTATAACTATACCACAACCTGTTTGGTCCATTGTTTTTTTTTTTTTTGGGTCCAGTCGTGGGGCCTGAACTCTGGGCTTGGGTGCTGTCCTTCAGCTCAAGGCTAGCGCTCTACCACTTGAGCTACAGCGCTGGCTTTTTTCTTTTTTTGCATATGTGGTGCTGAGGAATCGAACCCAGGGCTTCATGCATGCAAGGCAAGTGCTCTACCACTGAGCCACCTTCCCAGCCCGTGTTTGGTCCATTGTTGATGGACAGTCATGTTTCCAGACTTGGGCTGCCTTGGACAAGGCTGGTAGGAATCACAGTGAGTCATGCTGTGCACGGAGGCAGTAAGGAAATGCTGAACCCCAGGGCAGATGTGTGTCACTGGACAAGACACTGCCCGAGTCGTATGAAGGGGATACTCCTGCCAGCATGTGGGAGAACCCCCGGGCTCTGCGTATACCAACACTTGGTGCTGTCTGATGGGGAGTGCCTTACGGTGTAGCATGTTGGCCTGTTTGTTCTTGCTCACCAGTGGTGGAGGCGGAGGACAGGAGCTAGAGCCTGCAGGTGGGGAGAGGCTTGGGCCAGTCAGTCACCCCATCTCCTAGAAGCCTGGGCAGCTGTAGCTCAGTGGTGGAGTAAGGGGCCTTGAGTTCATTCCTATCCCTGCCACATGCTCACAGAAAAGCAGGGAAGATCGACAAGAAATGTACTCATCACCTTACTGATGTAACTAACCCCTCTGTACAGCATCTTTATAAGAAAATAAAATTTAAAAAAAAAAAAAAGAAGAAAGAAAAACAGGGAAGAGCTTCTGGAATGGTTCTTCTCTCCAACCAAGGCTTTCCTACATCTCATTAGCTGAGCAGTGGCAGGAAGTGAGGGTCTCCTCTGAATTCTCAGTCCTCTGAGGGCCAGCCTGATGTGGTATTTTCCTTTTTGCTGGTTCTGGGCTTGAACTCAGGGCCTGGGTGCTGTCCCTGAGTTTTTATACTCAAGGCTAGTGCCCTACCACTCAAGCCATAGCTCCACTTTTGGCTTTTTTGTGGTTAATGGGAGGTAAGAGTCCTACGGACTTTTCTGACGGGGCTGGCTTTGAACTGCAATCCTCAGATCTCAGCCTCCTGAGAAGCTAGGGGTACAGGCATGAGCTCTTGGTGCCTGGCTTCCATGTGGTATTTCTATACCAGAGAATGCAGCTTCCCCCAGCCCCTGTGACTGTGATCAGCACAGCCAGACATGAGGATGCCCGTCTTGGGGGGCCTGGGGTGGCTGCACCTACTGTCCCCACACTTCTTCCTGGTGAACACTGGGCATAGACTCAATGCAGCACTCAGACTAAAAGGAAAAGACCCATTTGCTGGAGAAGCAAACAGGCTCAGTGAGGCGGTGACTTGCCCCAGGACACAGTCAAGGGCAGTCTCAGCTCCAGCCCTCCTACGGCTGCCAGGCTTCCCCGAGGGTGAGAAGCTGTGACTGCTGAGGGACCGTGCTTGAGTACAGATCTGACAGAGCAGTCAGAGGGGTCCTGACTGCCACAGACGCTGCTACCCGGAGCCCACACACCCCACCCTGAAGCCTGCACGCCCCCATGCACACCCCACGCGCACATCACAGTCTTTGTCATGTGGATTCTCAGCCCCACCCTCAGAAGCCCACACCCAAGCTTTCGGAAGGGTGGGGTGCTGGGGAGACGTCCCCTGCTTCTCAGCCTGCCTGGCCACCCAGGACACCAGAGCTGCTGGAAGGTTTTATTAAGTTAAGAGTGCTCGTGGAGCAGGAGAAGCATCTTCATGGGCGATGCCAGCGGCGCCATGGCCAGCACCCCTCAGAGGGGGGGTGGGGACAGCTGCTGGCACTCTGTCCCCATCCCCAATATGTGGGACCACTCATCCAGGGCCTCCCCCCCCCCCGCCAACCCGTTAACCCCCCATGGCCACTGCTGGGACCTCTGGGGACCCTCAGGGTAAGCTGAGGCCAGGCGGCTGAGAGGGAGGGATCCCAGCCGGGAGGAAGATGCCACCAGGAATTGCTTTTCTTTAAAAGTATAAAGTGTTTTAGGAAAAAAAAAAAAGGAGAGAAAAAAAAAAAAAGGAAAAAAGAAAAAAAAAGTCTCTATAAAAATCTCTTCACATAAAAAATCCTGAAGGTGCCAGGTGAGACCCAGTGCGAGGGGCGCGCTCAGATACGCAGTGTGTACATGCATGTGTGTGCGTGCATGCACGTGTGTGTACACTGTGCATGTGCACGGGTGCGCGCGGTGTGTGTGTGTGTGTGTGTGTGTGTGTGTGTGTATGAGTGCACGTGCCTCCCACAGGGTGGGAAGAAAGCTTGGCTTCTGACTTCCATCCATCAGGGGGAGCTGATGATTGATTGGCCCCCCTGGGGCTGGAGACTGCAGCTGGGCTGGACCACAAAGACCTGGAAGGCAAGGACAGGTGCTGAGGTCAGGCAAGGGGGTGAGGAGGGACTTCCACCCTGCCTACAAGACTCTCAGCTCTTCGCAAAAACAGACTGGCTCTGCTGGTGGCCTCCCTGGCCGCCCCCCTCCACTCCCCATGAGCCGTATGAAGTATAGAGACTTGTCAGAAAGAGAACACTCTCTTGCTGGCCACTGTAATTACAGCTCACACCTGTAATCCTAGCTACTCAGGAGGCTGTGATCTAAGGATCATGGTTCAAAGCCAGCCTGGGCAGGAAAGGTGGTGAGACTCTTATCTCCAATGAGCCAGCTGGAAGTGGAGCTGTGGCCTGAGCCTGAACGCTGTGTGTGGTGTCATGGTCCCAGTTACAGATGGGGAAACAGAGGCAGGAGAAGGACCTGTCTGCTCAGGTAGCCAGTGAGTCAGGCTGGGTACTGTGAGTTCCCCGTCGCCCCCCCCCCCCCCCCCCCCAGAGCCCAGGCTCCCACCTCTACTCGGCCAGGCTGTTGCGCGTGGCTTCCTTCTCCTGCAGGGCCGCCATGGCAAGACGCAGGTGCTCCTTCAGCTGCTCGATCTCCCGCTCTGACCGCGTCTTGATGTGGTTCAGTTCTACGTACACGTCTTGGTACTTGCCTGATGTGAAGCGCTTGTCCTGGCGCGGGAGGGGGGCCATGAATGTCGCAGCCCCCTCCCGGGCCCACCACCTGATACATGCCCTCTCTGTTCCCCGCTGGCAGTGCAGAGCAGCCAGCCCCGTTTTAGCCTCCAGGGCTGGCACAAGGACAGGGCAGCCGTGGATGAGCCATGTAGGCCAGACCTGGGTGGAACTGATGCTTCCAGCTCTTAGCATGCGGCCTGGCATGTAGAAGGTGCTCAATAGTAAATAAGCCAAGTGTGGTGAGGTATACCTGTAGTCTCAGCTGCTGGGAGATGAAGACAAAAGGGTCGGGGTTTAAAGCCCCCGATGGAAATGTTAGTGAGACCCTATCTCAAAAACAAAATAAAGTCAGGAGTCAGTAGCTCATGCCTGCAATCCTAGCTACTCAGGAGGCTGAGATCAGAGGATCAAGGGTTGAAACCATCCCAAGCAGATAACTCTAAGCAACTCTTATCTCCAATTAGCCAGCAAAAAAACTGGAAGGGGAATTGTAGCTCAAGTGTATAGCACCAGTCTTGAGCGAAAAAGGCAAGCAAGAGCAGAAGGCCCTGAATTCAAACCTTGGTACCAACACACACAATTTAAAAAAATTAAAATGAGCCGGGTGCGGTGGCTCACACCTGGAATCCCAGCTACTCAGAAGGCTGAGATCTGAGGATTGTGGTTCAAAGCCAGCCTGGGCAGGAAAGTCCACGAGACTCTGATCTCCAATAAGCCACTAGAAAACCGGAAGGGGCGCTGTGGCTCAAGAGGTAGAGCACTCGCCTTGAGCTGAAGAGCACAGGGACAGCGCCCAGGCCCAGAGTTCAAGCCCCAGGACTGACCAAAAAAAAAAAAAAAAGCAAAAAAATAAAATTTTAAAATAAATAAAAAGAACTAGGGGCATCACATGAGCAATAGAGCACTTGACGAGCAAGCGAGAAGCTTTGCTTCAGTCCTCCCACAGTAATGAAGAAAGCCCCCACACATACAAACAGTAATACGTAAATAAACTAATGCTGAATAAACCAAAGCAAGTGTGTCCTTGCAGACTGCCCGGCCTGTCTTCCCTGTCTGTAATGGGGCAGCGAGTCTCGTGGGGGGCTCTGGGAGGGCTGAAGGAGAACGAGGCAAAGAGGTGCCAAGGACACGTCCCTGGCTAGCATCCGGGAGGTTCTGAGCCCCTCTGTGTCCCCCCGACCCCCCGTGGCTCTCCATACCTTCTGCAACACCTGCAGCTCATCCCGGAGACACTGCACCTCCTTCTTCAGGTACTGAAGCTCGTTCTCCTTCACTCGCAACAGTACCTGCGGGCACAGGTGCCAGGCTGACCCAAGCCCAGAGCCCTGTAGCCTGGCTCCTTCCTGCCCCAGACCCTAGAGGGCAGCGCCAACCTGTGCCAAGATCCCTATTATTCCATCCTGGCGGCCCACCTCCCCCAGGAAGCTGTCCTCCCTCACCCCTCACCCCCCTGGCTATGGTCACCTTAGCTGTAGGTCCAGCTGGGGGCCAGGAGGTGGAAAGGAGGCTGGGTTGTGGCCCTCCTTTAACAAGAGTTATGCAGCCATGGCAGGCCCCGGATCCTCCCAGTGCTGAGGGGCTGCGTGCCTGACTTGACAATGGGGAACAGGCCCAGCCTAAAAGCTTAGATCGGAGCTGACTGCTGGGTGCAAACATGGTTTCTACAGTGGGAGCTGGGTGACTTCTAGGAAGGCCATGGACCTCCCTGGGTCTGATTGCTCATCTGTCTAGCAGGGACAGTGACTAAACTCCTGGAATTACTGGAAGATTAGATAAAAAGGACATACAGAAGTTCCAGACAAACCAGGCGCTGGTGGCTCACCCTGTAATCCTAGCTACTCAGGAGGCTGAGATCTGAGGATTCTGGTTTGAAGGCCAGGCAGGAAAGTTCATGAGACTCCTCCCTCTCTTTTTCTCTTTCTCTCTCTGTTTCTCTCTCTGCCAGTCCTGGGGCTTGAACTCAGGGCCTACGCACTGTCCCTGAGCTTCTTTTGCTCAAGGCTAGCACTCTACCACTTGAGCCACAGCACCACTTCCAGCTTTTTCTGTGTATGTGATACTGAGGAAACAATTCCAGGGCTTCATGCATGCTAGGCAAGCACTCTACCACTAAGCCACATTCCCAGCCCAAGACACTTATCTCTAACCACCAAGAAGCCACAAGTGGAATTGGGTCTCAAATGGCAGAGGGTCAGCTTGAGTGAAAAAAAAGACTAAGGGACAGTGCCTAGGCCTCGAGTTCAAGCCCCAAACTGGCACCAAAAGTAATAATAAGTAATAAGTAAATAAACTAATAGAATAGGTAAAATAAATCAAATGCTATAATAAATAAGTAAATGAATAAGCAATATAGTAAAATAAATCAAATGCTAAGGTGCTGGTGGAATCATGCATTTCTTCTAGGAGCTACTGACTGGTGGAATAGCTTGCCAGGGTTCCCCTGCAGGTAGGTGTTGGTAGTGGGGGGAGGTGCTACCAAGTATAGGGGGCTGAAGGAAGGGGGCACCGCTCACCTCCAGCTCACAGGAGCTCCGCTCATTGCTGCGCCCACAGCTGTTGCCCGAGCCCTGGGAGGCAATGAAGCTGCGCAGCCGGTCGATCTCTTCGGACAGGCGGGTGTGCAGCTCCTGGGGGAGGGGAGGGACGGTTAGGCCTCGATGCTGGCCCCACCATGTCCACCCCCAGCCCCATAGGGGCCGGGCCCACCTGGTTGTGGCGCAGCAGCTCCTGGCCCTCCTGCTGGCAGCGCTGCAGGGTGTGTTCCCGCTCCTCAGCCTGCCGCGTCAGGGCACCGATCTCCAGGCATTTCTGCGAATAGCGTTCGGACAGCACCTGCAGCTCCCGCTTCAGCGCCTCTACGTCTGACCTTCCCAGGGGAACAGGGGGACAGAGTGCTCTTGTCACTGCTGGCCCTTGAGTGGGTCACAACCTGACTCAGCCCACCATGGGTTGGAGGGCAGCCCCAGGACTCCAGAACTGTGCGGTAACAGGGAGACACCTACTGGTGAAAAGTGACATCGCAACCCAGCTCTATAGAACACTAAACCAAACAGGCATAGAACGCAGAGGGCCTCAGTACCAAGTCCTCAATTTTCAAGTATCCTGGTGAGCAGCAGGCCCTGGCTTAAAGGCAGACCTAGCCAAGACACTCAGGGCCCCATTTCCATCTTACTGATGCTGCTTCCGGAGGCCATCTGGACCTTGCTGGAGACTCCGTGTTTTGCTCAGCTCCCGGCTCAGCTCTTCCTGATAGGCTTTCTTCATGGCTTCAATGGCTGGGAGAAGGCAGAAAGGTAGAAAAGTTGGAGAGGGGTTGGAATCATCAAGCTGTGCCTCCCCTAAGACTCCACGTATACAGGTGGATACAGAATCAGAAAGCAGCATACAGAGAGCACCAGACTAGACTAGCAGCCCAGAGCAATCCAGGCAGTGTCCTGAACTGAGTAGTTTAGGGCTGAATTACTCAATCTCTTTGGGCCCATCATGGGAGAATGACCCTGCCAGATGGCCCTTCTGGGAGGACACCTTCAGGGCCCTCTGGTAGGGCTCTTCTGCTAGCCCTGAAGAGCTCATGGCCAGTGCCAAGGCCCAGAGTTCAAGCCCCATGACCACCACCACCTCCACCACCAAGAGTCTTACAGACTTTCTTTTTTTTTTTTTGGGGGGGGGTCTGTTCGTGGGGCCTGAACTCTGGGCTTGGGTGCTGTCTCTCAGCTCTTCAGCTCAAGGCTAGCGCTCTACCACTTGAGCCACAGCACCACCTCCGGCTTTTTTTCTTTTTGCTTATGTGGTGCTGAGGAATCGAACCCAGGGCCTCATGCATGCAAGGCAAGCGCTCTACCACTGAGCCACCCTCCCAGCCCTCACAGACTTTCTTGCCCAGGTTGGCTGCCTCCTGAGCAGCTAGGATTATAGGCCAGCCACCAGTGCCCGGCAGAACAGAGTATTTTTTCACACCACTCGGGGTGATCGTGAGGACTAAGTCTTGCTCTGTGGTTTTACCCACAATTCCAAATCCTACCACTGAATAGGGAATTATCATCACCCTTCCCTGAGGGAAGGGACACCAGGCTGTGGGTGTTCTGTTATTCTGTGTGTGTAGGACTTCCAGGTTCACTATGGAAACCTTCGTGCTGGGTTACAGGGTGATCCAGGCGTGGACCCAGCTGGGGCAGGGTGACCTCCCTAAAATACAGAAGCGCCTAAAGGTGCAAGCATAGGAAGCCCTTGGCCAGCACAGGCAGGAAGCAGGCTCAGTTCCCATGACCTCTCTCACACTTTCCATCATCCTGCAACCCCCTGGGGTGCACAGGACGTGCGGGGGCGGGGGGGGGAATGGCAGGTGTGTGAGGGGCTGATGGAGGGGAAGGAATTGTCTGTCATACACATTTCCAGCTTCTGACTGGGAGAGCAGATGTGTTCAGGGCACTGCTCTGTACCCAGAATGCTCTGGGCTCTGGCACCAACTGTACCACCTCAGGGTGGTGTCACTAACCTAAGGCCTGGCTCTTCATCTGTGCAAATGGGAAAAGCACACAGCCAGGCCTGGGCCAGGCTCTCCTCTCCCCTCCCCCCAGCTTCCCCAGTGGGGGGGCCTATGGGGGTCAGGGAGATGGCACTCCCCACTCCCCCAGCATGTGAACAGAGAGTAGTTTAAGGTGGGCCCTCCCACAAGTGGCTGCAGGGGGGAGGGGGAGGGGGAGAGGGAGTCACAACCTATGGGGGAGGGGCAATCTCTTACAATATCAGTTTCTCCTTTTCTAGAAGGTGCAAAAACCAGTTCTGGGAGCTTCTAAGCCCAGGTGACACCCCGCCCACAAGTGTTACAATTCTCACTTACTATTTTTTTTTTTTTTGGTCTGAGATTGGGTCTTGAACTCGGGACTTGACACTTGTGCTCATTGGCTAGTGCTCTGCCAACTGAGCCACACTTCCACCCCTTCTTTTTCTTCTTGGTGTCAGTTCCAGGGCTTAAACTTAGGGTCTTGCGATCACCCTTGACTTTTTGCTCAAGGCTGGTGCTTTGAGCCACAGCTCTACTTCTACCACTTGAGCCACAGCGCCACTTCTGATTTTCTGGGAGATAAGAGTCTCACAGACATTGCTGCCTGGGCTGGCTTTGAACCTTGATCCTCAGATCTCAGCCTCCTGAGTAGCTAGGACTACAGGCGTGAGCCCCAGGCACCGGGCTTCTGGCTTTTAAATTGGTGATAAAAAGCCTCAGACTTTCCTATTCAGATAGGCTGGCTTCAAACCTTGATCCTTAGATCTCAGTAGCTAGGATCACAGGTGTGAGCTACAGGTGCCTGGCTCTCTTCCTGGTGCAGTCAGGGGTGGGGGGCTTCAGCGTGGAGTGGGGTTCTTACCGGAGGCCGTGGCCGCCGTCTCCTCCTCCAGCAGCCATTCCTTCTCCTGCTGCAGCCGCTGCAGCTCTCGCTCATGGTGGCGCTGCAGCTGCTCCATCACCTGCTGGTGTGAGGACTCCATCTCCGCTAGGCTGCGCTCGCAGGCCTCCTGCGGGCGGGGGACCAGGGGTCACAGAGCTGCCTCACTGCCCCCAGGGGGAGGAGCTGCGGGCAGGCTCCCCAGGGGCCAGGCTGGATCCGCACCACCAGCCTGCTCCTACTGCCACACCACCTTTGCATTGACAACCCCACCCTACTCCCCTGCTTCCAACCCTCCCGCGTGCCACCCCCCTCCCTGCCCTGCCAGTGCCTGCTCCCATGGTGGGCTCTCATCGCCCTACTCCTGCCCAGCTTTTCACACACACACACCCCCCCCAGCAACCTCACATAAACCAACTCTGCGCTTACTCATACCTCCGAACTTTTAGCTCATGCTATTCCACCCGGCCTAGAACATGCTTTTCCTTCCTTAATTCACCTGACCTGTAGCTCAGCTGGAATGTTTCTTCCAGCTTCATCTGTCTCTGGGAAGCCTCTTCCCTGCCTCCAAGGTTCTGCTTCTCCCAGACCATAATACCCTCAGGACGGCAGCTGAGGCCTGGCATTCAGGCCAGGGCACAACATGTGGCAAGTACTTAGTGAATGAGCTGAGATGGATGACAATGTACAACAGGGCTTTGGAGACAAGCGGGGCAAGTACGCCTGAGACTGACGATGCCCACGGCGGAGCCCGCTGTGCTGGGTGGCCTGGGGGCAGTGGCAGCATCATTACCACTCACACAGTGACACAGGGTCTGACTATGTACAGTTCATGCTGACCTCTCCCTTGTGATCCTCCTGCCTCAACCTCTGAATGCTGGGGTTTTAGGCATATGCTACCATACCCAATTGACATTTTAACAACCTTATTCCTTCACCTAGCAGCCTACTCCTAGGATTTATAGCCACGCCCCAGGAGGTGGTGTGTGTGTGTGAGGACTCAGAAATGAGGTTGTTTGCAAAGGCAAGGTTAGCAGGAAAACAAATAAAAACTGAAAACATTCTAAATGTCTACCCAGGGAATCCTGAGATCAGTGATGGACTGAGCCTTACGAAGGACGCTGGGGAGCTGTCCAAAGGCAGAGAAGCAGAAGACTGGGTGGGAACCTTGAACGAGGTGACCCTGATCAGGATGCATTGTGTTCATAAACTGCTGTGTTAAATGGCAGCTCCTCTGTACAACTACTTAAAAGATTTTTTTTTAAAAGAACCAAAACAAAGGAAGAGCCGAGCACTGATGGCTCACGCCTGTAATCCTAGTTACTCAGGAGGCTGAGATCTGAGGATCGGGGTTCAAAGACAGACCAGGCAGGAAAGTCCATGGGACTCTTATCTCCAGTTAACTACCAGAAAACCAGAAGTGGTGCTGTGGCTCAAGTGGTAGAGCGCTCGCCTTGAACTGAAGAGCTCAGAGACAGAGCCCAGGCCCAGAGTTCAAGCCCCACAGCCCACCGACCAAAAACACACACACACACAAAAACCCCAAAACACAGGCAGAGTGGCCTGCGTGGACTCCTGTGGAAAGGCATAAGGAAGGTAGCGGGGAGAACTGGCGTCTGGCGGTACATGCGGCTGCTCCCACTCACAAGAGCAAAACACATCGGGCTAACATCTGTTATGGTAGGAGAGACAGAATACCCGCCCCCAAAGACACCCTTGTCTTTCTCCTGGGGCCTCTGACTATGTCACCTTCCAGGACGAAAGGAATTCAGGCTGCTCCTTAGCTGACCCTGGAGGTGCGCAATTGTCCAAGGCTATCTGGGCCCTGAGGAGTGGAAGCGGAGGGTAAGACCACAGAGGAGGCGAGGCAGGTCACAGTGACACCGTGCCGTAACAATGCAGGGACCATGCCCAGGCCCTGAGTTCAAGCCTCAGAACTGGCACAAAAATGAAACAAATACAAATAAATAAGGCACTTTGAAATTGGAAGCCATGTGCTAGGAAGGTGGCTCAGGGGTAGAGTCTTGCCTTGCATGCTTGAGGCCCTGGGTTCCTCAGTACCACATGGGCAGAAAAAGCCAGAAATAGTGCTGTGGTTCAAGTGGTAGAGTGCTAGCCTTGAGCAAAAGCCCACAACCGACAAAAATAAATGAAATAAAATTGGAAGCCTGTGTCCTTAAAGGGCTAGGGCAGATAGGCAGACACAGTAGCTGATGAGCTATGCAGGGGGTGTGTGTGGGTGGGGTGGGGGTAATGGCAGGAGGGGTATCCACAGAGAGTGCTCCGTGGCCGGGCGCTGCTTCAGACCTACCTTCCCGACGAGAGAGGTGTCCTGATACTGGCCGCACCTCTCACATGCACGTCAAGGTAGATGAAGAAATGAAGTTCCCCCGCACTGGACTGCAAGGGCCCTTCTGCCCAAGGTGGCGCTTAAGTCCCAGGATGAAAAGCCCCAGAATCACCCCCACCGCTGTATTGTGGCACAAGGGTCCCCAGCCCTGTGAGGGATCCCCATTCAGTGTCCCAGCCCTGTGTGAGTGCTATTCGCTCAGTGTCCCAGCCCTGTGAGGGTGTCACCCACCCAGTGACCTACAGCCCTGCAGGAGGGGCCCCTGCTCAGTCCCCCAGCCCTGTGAGAGACCCCCATTCAGTGCGGATGCCCTCAGACCCACAGGAGGGGTCCCCACAGCAGGAGCTACCAGACCAGAGCAACCGCAGTTGCCTCTTCCCATGCTGGGGGGGGGCACGTGACTCCACTCCTCTTCTCTGACGCCCCCACCCCAGTCTTCAAGCTGTTTCCTTCCCTTCCCATCCCCCTCCCCAATTCTATCTGCTCTCCCTGCCCACCCTGGCACTGTGCTGTCAGCCTCTGGAGCCCCCAGCAGGGCACCTGGGACCAGTTCTCCCTAGAGCTCAAAGGTTACATACACCCTTCCTCTGAGCCTCAGTTTCCCCATCTATAAGCTAAGAAGTCACAGGACTCCTTTTTGTATGTGTGCTGGTACTGGGGCTTAAATTCAGGGCCTGGGCCTTGTTCCTTAGCTTTTTCACTCAAGGCTGGTGCTCTGCCACTTGAGCCATAGCTCCCCTCTGGCTTTTTTAGTGGTTCATTGGAGATGAGTCTCACAGCCTTTTCCTGCCTGGGCTGGTTTCAAACCACAAGCTTCAGATCTCAGCCTTCTGAGTAGCTAGGATGACAGGTGTGAGCCACCGGCACCAGGCTAGCACAGGATTCTTTTGTAAGTTCCATTTTGGTGGCAGAAACCTTTTCCCAGTGGACTCAAAAGCCGGTTTTACTAGTAACAAAGATGGAACACCCTGATCACAGGTAAGTGGCCCACCCAGAGAGAGATGCCCCTAGACTGTCTCTGAACCCCAGGAGCCCTGGGCAGGACCTCAGGGCTCCATCCATTGGCCACAGGCTGTGGCCTGGGCCCAGCCCTGCTGAGAGGCCTCATTCAAGGGAGGCCTCTCCTCTACCTTCCCCACGCCCAGGGACCCCAAGGCTGGTCTCCTCATCTCCTGACTCTCCTTGTCAGCTCCTCCTCTGCTCTCCTGAGCCATCACCAAGTCCTAGTGCCCTGCTAGCCCATACTACCCTCAGCCTTGCCCCAGTTCTCCAGGCCTGGGCCTTACCCTCTCCTGAGCGCTGGTTTTTTGCAGCACCACTTCGTGACGGTGGCACCAGACTTGTTCCTGGAGGCTCCACAATGAGTACCAACCCGCCTCCCACCTCCGGCCACAAGCAGCGCAGCCCCCAGCCCCAGCACACACACACTTCCCAAAGAGCCCCTTCACGGGACCTCCCACTACTCCTGGGAATGTCTAGAAGGCTCCCACTGCACAGCATCTGGAATCCCGATATTCTTTTCTCCTTTGGGCAACAGAGTACTATAGACTGCAGACAAGTGATTGTCAAATTATTCACGATTTTGTGACCAGGCTGCTAAGCAAGGCTGCTTTCTAAACTTAAAATTATAGTTCTATGACAAATAAAGGTAGTACGTACATAGTCAAAGTGTATCACTCCCTGATTATTCATTGCATTTTATTATTCCGCCCGTCCCTGAGGTGGTTCCCTGGACGGCTGGGTGAGACAGACTCTTCCCAGCCTGGCTGAGGGATGTCATGCGGGTAGCTGGATGTCAGCCATGATGGGAGCTTGCACAGTGGGAACTGAGAAAGTTGGTTTATTGTCTTATGGATTGTTTAGAAGCAGGTGACGAGAATGTGCTGACACTTAAACGTGTTAAGTCTATGGTCATGAGAGAACATACAGAAAAACAAAAACTACAGAAATAGTCTTTTTTTTTTGGTCTGAGATCAGGACTTAAATTCAGTACCAGATGCTTTCATTTATTGGCTAGTGCTCTACAAACTGAGCCACACCTCCAGCCCCCAGAAATATTATTAATAGGATGCTCTGGAATATCCAATAAAATACAATTACCCGAGACCGCGTGCTGGTGGGTCACGCCTATAATCGTAGCTATTCAGGAGGATAGAGGTTCAAAGCCAACCCTGGCAGGAAAGTCTGTGACACTCTTTATCTTCAATTAACCACTAGAAAACCAGAAATAGCGCTGTGGCTCAAAGTGGTAGAGTGCTAGCCTTGAACAGAAAAACTCAGGGACAGAGCTCAGGCCCTGAGTTCAAGCCCTAGGACTGACCAAAAAACAACAACAAAGACAAACAAACAAACAAAAAAGATTTCCAATTCAGCAAAGGGGTCACTCGTAATATTGACCTAGTAAAGTTTCCATATTTGACTTCTCGCCTTACTTATTAGCATAAACAAAAATGTCAATCCACATTCACATTAGAACAGGAAGTCCCAAAGACGCTGTGAGGGAAATCCACCGGCTGCATGGAATTCACAGTAAGAATAGTATATATATTTTAAAACTATCAATTATATACTAAATATCTATTATTTAGTAAAACGTAAAATAAATATGTGTGCACGCATGCATACACGCCCCAGGACCAGCGCACGCAGGTGCACATGCACGCGCACGTGCACACACACACACATACACACACACGTACATAATCATTTTTTTTTCTTCTGGAAAACCAAGTGTCCCAGTTGTGACAATCAAAAATTGCTTCCACACATAGCTGCTGTCCCCAGGGGACAAAGTACCCCCGCCCCGCACTTGAGAAGCGCTGTCCTAGGCAGAGTTCACTCCCGAGGGCCACTGAAGGCTTGCACGTCCTGCAGGGCTCCTGGCTGTGCCTGGGCGGGCTCGCTCCATGTCAGGGAACAACTCTCCAGTCCCCCGCCCCATGAGGCGGGGGAAGGGGCTCCAACTGCACAATGTCACACGGGGACTCACACACAGGCTCTGCGGTCAGCCGACCCCAGGCTCAAATCCCACCTCTGACACCTGCAGTCTGGGTGCCCTCGGGCGAGTCACGTGAGCCCTCAGCGCCCAGGGGCCTGGTCTGTAAAATGGGCACCGTGATCACGCCCACCAGCTGTGGGGAGAGTGAGAGGGGTGTGTCAAACGCCTCGCACGGGTTCTGGCACACAGGGAAGGATGCCAAAGTATTGTTTTCTGACAACACAGCAACCAGAAATCTGTCCCCTCCCCCCACCGCCAATAACACGCCTCAGCCTCACCTGAGAGATGTAGCCTGGCGGGGTGCGGCCATCCTCCTGGGGTCTGGGTGCACTCTGGGGGGCTTCCCCCCGGAGACGCCACGCTTCCAGCTGCGCACGGAGAGATTGGACCTAGCAGAGGAGAAGCCCAGGTCAGTGAGGACCCAGACAGAGTAAGGAATAGCACATGGCTGTCCAGCTTCACAGGGTTACAACGCCAGCTTTCCTAGGGTTCACAGAAAGGTTGGGAACCTCATGTGTGTCGTCCTAGCCACGCAGGAGGTTGAGGTCTGAGGATCGTGGTTTGAAGCCAGCCAGGACAGTGAAGTCCATCAGACTCTAATCTCCAATGAACCATCAAAGCAGAAATGTGGCTCAAGAGATAAGGGGGCCAGCCTTGAGCAGAAGAAGCTAAGAGACAGTGCCCAGGCCGAGTTCAAGCTCCAGAACTAGCACAAGAGTGGGGGTGGAGCAGGAGCACTGGTGTCGCTGGTTCCTAGATGGCCAGGCGTAGACCTGAGATAGCTCTGGCCCAGAGAAGACAAGGATAGGGTCAGCACACCATTGTCACTATTACCCACCACAGGATGACAGGCAGGTGTGCCACCTGTGAACTTTGTTTCCCCGTCAGTGACAGAGGGGAGGCCTGCCCAGGAGAAGTGTGGGAATAGCTTGAGTCAAGGGACTTGAGAGGCTGTGGACAAGGCTTGGGATGTAAAAGATGAACAAAACATGGTCTCCCTTCCCTTCCCACTTCCCATCCTGGGTGTTATTAAGAGCACAACTAAGAAAACAACAGAACATGGGGCTGGGAAGGTGGCTCAGTGGTAGAGCGCTTGCCTTGCATGCCTGAGGCCCTGGGTTCGATTCCTCAGCACCACATAAGCAAAAACTGTGGCTCAAGTGGTAGAGCGCTAGCCTTGAGCTGAAGAGCTGAGGGACAGCGCCCAGGCCCAGAGTTCAGGCCCCATGACCGGACCCCCCCCACACACACACAAAAAGAAAACAACAGAACAAAACAACAGCAGGGGTCTAGGGAATAAAAGTGAAAGGGCCTGACAATTAGGACAGCGATCAAACAGGGAATGAGGGAATGAGCACCCCAACACCACAGGTGTGTGGGACAAATGTCAAGCCAGGCACTGGTGCTCACACCTGTAATCCTAGCTACGTAGAGGCTGAGATCTGAGGATCACTGTTCAAAGCCAGCTTGGGCGGCAAAGTCTGAGACTCTTATCTCCAATTAAGTACAAAAAAAAAGAAAAAAAAAAGCCCTAAGTGGAGCTGTGACTCAAGTGGTAGAGCACTAGACTTCAGCACAAAAACTTGAGGATAAACTGGCGCCAGGTGTCAGTGGCTCACGCCTGTCACCCTAGCTACCCAGGAGACTGAGATCTGAGGATCGCCATCAAAGCCAATCGTAGGCAGGAAAGTCCGTTGAGACTCTTTATCTCCAATAAATTACCAAAAAAGCCAGAGATGGCGCTGTGGCTCAAGTGGTAGAGTGCTAGCCTTGAGCAAAAACAGTGCAGGGACAGCACTTAGGCCCTGAGTTCAAGTCCCACAACTGGCACCAAAAAAAAAAAAAAAGACAAACACCAGGACTGGGTTCAGGGTCAGGAGCAGAGCTGGGGGGCCAGGGGCCCACCTCCGTCTCCGGAGCCCACCTCCTTCTCCAGGGCCTCATGGTTGTCCCTCGAGGGTGTGTGGCGTTCGCTGTGGCTCTGGTTGAGCAGGGCGGTGAGTGGCACCCGCTTGCTCTCCCTCAGGGGCAGCTTCTCCAGCTCCTGCCACTTCTTCTCGATCTCCTCGCTGAGCCGGCTCTGCTGGTCCTCAGTCAGGGGGGCGCCCAGGCCCCGACGTGGCCCCTCCCCAGTGGGTGTCTCTGGGCCCCCGCTGTCCGTGGCTTCAAACCACTTGCGCCGCTCCTCAGAGCGCTGGGCCAGGTCCCGCTCCAGTTCCTCCTGCTTGGTGGGGCGGTCAGGGGTTCGGGCTGGGGTGCGGGCTCGCTGCGGGGAGGCCTGCGTCAGCGGGGAGAGCTCCACATAGTCCAGGGACTGCCGTGGCCCATCCACCCTGCGAGGGCTGCCCCGGCCGATGACCTCGGAGGCGGCCCGCTGCTCCCCCACCTTTGGGGAGCCCTTCTGGGGCCCGAAGCTGTGCAACGTGTTCTCCTTGTTGCTGTCCGAGAGCCTAGGGCGCCAGCAGAGCCGTGTCAGGTGGGACCTTGTCCACTCGCCCACAGGAGCCCTTCCAGAGAGACCCCAACCTCGCTTCCCCTCCCCCCCCCCCCCCCCCCCCGCCTCAGCGCTAGGTGTCCCCAGAGGGCAGGGCAGCCCGGCCCAGAGTCTGAGAAGTGGAGCTTCTTGGTGAACAGGTTCTGGGCACAGCCTAGTTTACCACCTGCCAGCCCTGGGCCCGTGAGGCCTGGATCCTCCTCCTTTCTCATAGCCTGGCTGGCATAGATGTGATGTCTTAGTGAGCCACTGTGTGCAAAGTACCCAGGAGGCCCTTTGCAAGTACCAGTGGAAGCACTGCTTATTAAAAACTTGAGTAACAGCTGGGTATGGTGGCTCATGCCTGTAATCCTAGCTACTCAGGAAGTTGAGACCTGGAGGATTGCAGTTGGAAACCAGCCTGGGCAAAAACTTCACAAAACTCTCTCTCCAATTAACCACCAAAAAGCTGGAAGTGGAACTATGGCTCAAGTGGTATAGTACTAGCTTTGAGAAAACAAAACAAAACAAAAAAACCCTTCAAGGACAGTGCCCAGTCCCTGACTTTAAGCCCCAGGACTAGCCTAAGAATAAAATAAGCATGAAACAGCTGGACCCATGGGTGTCATGTCTGTCATCCTAGCTACTCAGAAAGCTAAGATCTGGAGGATTGCAGTTCAAAACCCACCTGAGCAAAAAAGCTCAAGAGGTTCTGTCTCTCCAACTAACCACCAAAACAGCAGAAGCGGATCTGTGGCTCAAGTGGTAGAATGCTAAGCAGCCTTGCGTGAAAAATCTACAGGACAGTGCCCTGGCCCTGAGTTCAAGCCCCAGTACCAACACACACACAAAAAGTCAGTGGCCCAAAGCCAAAGCCACACAGGTGTGGCCGGCTTCTATACAACACTCTGTTCCTGCCCCCCTAGCAGCTATAAACCTCACCCCTAGAGGGCGTGGTCACAGGGTAACCAACTCCCCACCCCATCTGCTACCATGGCAACAATGAAGGGAAAGGCCCCCAGCCTGGAGGGGAGCACAGAAGCCAGACTGCCAAGTCTCTCCCTAGTGCAAGCTTAGGCACAGCTTCATGGCACAGAGACAGAAGAGCCTGGACTCATGGGCACAACTCTTTCCAAAAAAAGGAGGGGGGGAATGAAGGTCAAGCCTATGTATTTTAATGTGAAGGCGCAGGATGCTCGTGTACCACAAAGGTAGAGCAGGGCCCTCAGGTGAGTTCCCAGAACCCCGCTCACAAGGCCCAAGCCCAGCCCATACTTGGTGACATCTGGGGCTGAAGTGGGTCGCACGGTCTTCCTCAGAGCCTCAATCCAGTTCCGCCGGATGCCTGAGGTCATGGCCGACAAGGTGTAGACGTTGTCCTTGGTCTGCAAGTGCACCCCGTGGGTAGGTGGACATGTGGCCGCCCTCTTACTCCCTCCCACTTGGATGGGGGGAGGGGCTTGCTTCCCAAGAGCAGACCTCTCCGGAGCCCACCTCTGATGGATGACACGTGTCTGGGGAATGAGTGAGTCACGGACTCTGGGCCCTCCCTTCCGCTTCCCGCTGCACCCCCCACAGCCTCACGTGGATCTGGAAGCCATAGTTGCGCTGCACGGCGTACTCGGTGACATCTGTGCAGGAGCGCAGGTCGATCTCACCGTCCAGCTCATCTGCCTAGAGCAGAAGGGCCCACCGGAGTCCACATGAGCCCTGGGGGCCCACTCTGTTGATCCAGGCCAGCCCGCTGCCCCAGCCCCTTCCAGGAACCCATGGGCACCCATGGGGGACAGGGCCTCACCTCCTCTGCAGTGGAGTCTCTGTAATACTTGAGGCTTGAGTCCGTCAGCACAAACCAGTGTTTCTTCCACTGTGAAGGAGAGGAAGTGGTAAGCAAGAGGAGGGAGGGAATGATGGTGGGAGACCTCAGAGGGCCTGGCAGGTGGGTCAGTGGACGGCCCTGCAGTTCCCCTCTGAGCCTCCAGGGTGCAGCTGTGAGCCGGGTTGACTTCTCCAAAGCCACACCCAGTCCTCCAGGAACCCTCCTCTGATTTGCTGATGCTCTTAGGCCCCTAGGACTGCCAGGGCTAGGGAGGGCCAGAACCTCACGTTTTAATCTTGTTTTCTCTTGTGTCCCCCTGGATTGCCACAGTGGTCAAGAACAAAGATCTCCCAGACAGGAGGACCGGAGAGGCCTAGGGTGCAGACTGAGCTCGTGGCAAGGTGGCAAAGTGGAAGTCTCTGGGCATGCTGGCTACTCACACATTCAGCCTGAGAAAACGTAAGCTGCCCATCCCTGATGCAGGAGTTAGGGGTCTTTCTTCAGTGCTTGCTTTTGGGCTCCAGGTGAGGTTGGGCAGGGACGGTGAACAGCTCGATCTCCTAATCTCCCATGAGGAGCTTGGCCTACCTCTGGGCTCCACTCACTGCACTGGAATGCAAGCCCAGGGCTGCCCACTGTCAGGGTCACTTCATGTCACCCAGCCCTCCTGGGAGTCCCCTGTACCAGGAAGCCATTTAAGGTATTTGTTGTTGCTGCAAGTACTTGGTTTCCTTTCCTCTAGTACATGGGAAGTTTTCCAGTAGGCAAGGATGATACTTTCTATTTCTTTCCAGCTGCCTCCCCTGAGAACTTAGGGTTTCAGCACCCAAGAAACTAGACGCAGCAGTTCCCTTGAGAGTTGTAACTGCTCTTGGAAGCTGTGGGCCTTTAGGCAAGTGTCTCCACCTCTCTGAGTACAGTAGGACTACAAAGCCCCCCAGCCTTCCAGTGCAGTTAGAAGTCTCAACCCCCATGGGTGTCACACAGCACTTGGTACAGCAATGGCACCGGGTGGCCCTCTCCAAGTGGATCGAGTGTCTGATGGAGGCTTCAACTGACTGCAATGTGCCACAGGCTCTGAGGCAAATGGCTTCTTAGCCCTTCCATGCCCGCTTTTCTTATGTACGCCAAGGGCTCGAACTCAGGGCCTGGGCACTGTCCCCTGAGCTTTTTCTACTCGAGGCTGGCACTCTACCACTTGATCCATAGGTCCACTTCTGGCTTTTTGGTGTTTAATTGGAGATAAGAATCTCACAGACTTTCCTGCCTGAGCTGGCTTCAAACTACAACCTTCAGACCTCCGTTTCCTGAGTAGGTAGGACTACAGGTGTGAGCCCCGGCGCCTGGTTACTCTCAGGAGCTGGAATGAGCTCTGAGGGCCTCGAGGGCTCAAGGTGCAGCATGGCCTGGAAGGAATGGACACTTGTGGACCCTGTTTCCTTTCTGTGCTGGAAGGGGGCTGGGCTGCTTGCACGCCCAGGGCGCTTTCAGCTCGGACATTCCAAAACTCCATGAAAGAGTATGAGTAATGGCCAGTTCTGGGTGGGGCCTCAACTCTCTCTGCCCTCCAGGGACCCTGGGTGGGGGAGGCCAGGAAGGGGTCACTGGCAGGGCGCCAGGCCTTGTGCGCATCTGGAGAGCGGCCATAGGGGACGGCGGGCAGGCAGCAGGGACGGAAGGCTGCGGGCTGGAGCAAATAAAGAGGGAATACAGCGGTGTAGGCAGGAAACACAATGAGCTTCCCTTTGGCTCTGCGCCCTGCCTGGCATGCGGGCTGCACGCAGACCCGAGCTACAGGCGCATGCAGGCAGGGGATAGGAGACAGCCTTCCCTGGCTAGGTAGGCAGGGAGCCAGCTCGGCTCCCAGGCTCCAGCCTGGCAGCCAAAAGGGCAGAGCTGGTGAAATATCCACCGTCCCTGCCGGTCCTGAAGACAGATACGCTGGAGAGACAGAGCTGAGCTGTCGATAGTATCGCTGCAACTCTGTTCCCTGATGGTTAACCTCCACGCCCACTTCACAGCTGTGGCCAGCCTCGAGAAGGCTGTGATCCCATCCAAGTGTCCTGGGTGAGACCTCCGGAGTCCATGCTCTGGGCCACACCCCCAGCGCAAGGCTGGGTCCTGGCCATCTGTCAAGGCAGACAATCTCCATGCACCCTGCGCCCCACACCCTTGGATCCTTAGCCAGGGTCATGAGGTGGTCTGACCCGGCCACTCTTGGTGACAGCAGGGAAAGAGGGTGGGGGTGCTGGCAGCCAGGAGACCTCCACCCTGTGGCTCATACTCTTGCAGACTGCTCAGCAGAGGGCCCAGGCCTCTGTCCTCTACTCATACGGCCACGCCCTCGGCTCCTTCCACTAGACAAGGAACACCTTCCCTTAAGCTTTCTTTCACCTGGTGCTCACAGGCCAGGGCCTTTAGAAGCCCTGCACTGAGCCAGCCAAACTCTCCCCTCCAGCTCCCGCCCTCCTACCTCTCCAGGCTCATCCAGGATTGACATCCATCCCTTCTTGAAGTTGAGCAGATCGGGCTGTGGGGAGAGAGATGGGTCAGGCCCACAGGGAGGTCACCTGGGCTGGCAGAAGGAAGTACATCACCCGTCCTGCCCCAAGCCCTGTGAGACTGAGGTCTGAGCATACCAATAGAAGGGACTTAGGGGCCCAGGAACTCCCTCCCCTCACCCTGCCAAGTGGGCTCCCAGCCACTGGGCAGCCTTGGCCCCCTTCTCCAACATCCACATCCAGAGAGCCAAAAGGGCGGACTGGATGGCTGACAAACACCCCAGATGTCCGAGCACCCTCCTGCCAGCTCATGAGTGGGGAGAGAGGAGGCCAAGGGGAGCTCTGGGTGGAGCCTGGAGCACACTGTCCAGGTCTCCTATGACAAGGCCCATTGGATCCACTGGAATAAGGCCTAACGGTGCCCGCCCCTCCGTGGCCCTCCAGCCAGTCCTGGTCCCTGGAGAGTCTGAGGCTGGTGTCCTTAGGTCCCCTGGGGAGACGGACATGTCACCTTGATCCTACCTTTCGAGTGCTGCTCAGGGGGGCAGAGCCCCGGGTCCTGGGGCCTCCCCGCTGCCACATGGTCTACTGTGAGCTGCACCCCCCTACCTAGATTCATAAAGAAGCTGCTCGTCGCAGCATTTTCCTGCCTATGCACCTCCGAAGGACACCAGCCTCCAGGCCCTCCCTGTCCACTGGGCCCCCTCTCTCCTCTAGGTCTGGTCCCTCTACCGTCCCAGCTCCTGCCGGTCTGTGGCGGAGCAGGCCAGGCTGGCGGGCAGGGAGGAGGCGGCCACCTGTTCCCATGGCTCCAAGCCCACCTATCAGGGCCTACATCGAGGCCTCACCAGGCGAAGGTGTCTGGTTGCGTGGAGGGAGCTGGTGGCTCTCACTCAGTGGGGTGGGCGGCCTCAGCCTGAAACCAGAGCCACCTGACCTGGCCACCCTTCCTGACCCACCCTCCTCAGGTACAGAAAGTGGGACATACAGAACCATCCACCACCATAATGGGGGGAGCTAGGCAGGCTGGCAAGTCCCCCTTGCATACCTGTCTGAGGGAGGAGACAGGCTTTACTCCAAGCCAGGAAGCCCTCGGGCTGTGTTCGTACTGTCTGCTGTCTATCTGCCCGCCATCACCCACCTGCGACAAAGCTTCCCAGGGAGGTCTCCAGCTAAGGCTTGTAAGGACTGCCAAATGTCTGGCTTCACAGATCCTTGGGCCTGGACCCCCACACCCCCTTCCCGGCAACCCCTAGAAACACCTCAGGACAAGCTGTTGAATAAACACCTCTCGCTTCCCTTCCCTGATCTCCAGTCCTGAGCTCTGGGGCAAACCTTGCCCCTGATAAGCTGAGGGTCCAGAATGGCCCCATTGGGCTGACCTGGGAGAGAAACGAGATGTTGCAGTCAGGCTATGGACCTAACCCCGCTGGGTGAGGCTGAGCCCCGGCTCATGGCAGGTAGGATCAGGAGGGCTAAGTCCCATTGCTACTCTGCGCCCTGACTGCCTCATGTGGCGAATGGGCTGTGGGTCCTGCTTCCCCCTGACCCAGCTTGCCAAAAGGGCAAGACACAGCAGCTGATGACCCTCTAAAGGCCAGTACAGCCCAGACATGCCATACCAGGCGACCGCTGAGCACCACCAAAGCAGTTTCAAAACCTTCTAGTTGCTAGGTGCCCATGCACATGCCTATAATCCTTGCTACTCAGGAGGGCAAGATCTGAGGAACACAATTCAAAGGTAGCTTGGGCAGGAAAGGTTGTGCGATCCTTATCTCTAATTAACCAGCAAAAAAAAAAAAAAAGCTGGGAAGGTGGCTCAGTGGTAGAGCGCTTGCCTTGCATGCCTGAGGCCCTGGGTTCGATTCCTCAGCACCACATAAG